CATGTTGAATATTATGAGTTTTAGAGACTTAGGGGTCATTTACCAAAGTTTACCCGGGTAAACGCTTACCAGTAATATGGCATCTATACAACAATTTACCCGGTAAGCGCTAACCGTGGTAAGAGTCACATGGTAACATTTTCGGTCCTTATCATTGCTCATACTAGATAAGATTTTGGCTCCTAGCCATATTCATAAAATAAGCAAGGCCCTTGCCATGTGCAGCCCGTGAGGCTGTACAAGGCATCAAAGCCTAAAGGGGCATCAAGTTGTCATCTATTACTAATTTTGGATTTAATAATTTGGAAATTGAACAACTGGACTTTAACTATAAGAACAGGCTCAAGGCCTAGTGGTGATGAATATTGAATGCACATCGTGATCCGGTTAGCGCCATCATTCCAACCACTCAATTTAATTTCTATTGTTCTTCAAAGTTTGACTATTTCGATTTTCATGGCATGGAGTTCTCTTTCCAGCCGATTAACGGTCATGAAATTATATTCAAGAAATCAAGGATGGAAATCTCGAATGACTGACTTTTACTATTGATTGAACTAACCGAGTTGTTGTGTGAGTCATATTATGATTTATGAATCTTTAAATCTTTTTGCAAAAAAAAGATCTAAATTTCTAACTGATTGTTATAAAGTTGGGTCATGTGGTCGTGTGGTTACTAACCTACTAAGTTAAGGCTAAGGGGTTTTTGTTATTTTGATAATGAGTCTTCCTCTTGCATATTGAAGTATCTGAGAATTGAAATTTTCAATGCACATGAGCACATCACTCTATCAACATAGCTGCAGCACACTGCACAACATTAACAACATATTCAAAAATTATCTTAATTATTGGGCATTTGTTTTTTGCAATGCACAGTAACATAGATTATGAATTTTACCATTTATTATTGTTCTTTTGACTTTTGTTTACTTTGAGGTTTGGCATTATCGCATTAGATTCAGTGGCCGTTTGATTGATTTTTTATTAATTTATATATGGATAAAGTTGTCTATATGAATTAATCTGTTTGTATAAGTTGGAAAAGTTTTTGTTTGACAGAGTTTTTTCCTTTAGTTGGAAGTGACATGTTTGACAAAAAAAACTTGACTTTCTATATAAAGCTCCCCCTAGAAGCTTACTGGATAAGTCACTTTCTATATCATTAAGCTACTACCAGACAGTCATGCATAGTTGAGCGAATAAGTTGTTAGTTCCATTAAGCTTACTAAGCTACCAACAGATAGACCTTTAGCCTTTAGTCATTAGACCTGTAACTTTTGAGTTTTATTTTTTGTTTACTATGACAGTAATTTAGATGTAATTTACTATTTTAATTAAAAACTAATTATAGTTTTCCTTGTCTTTTAAGTCTTATACATTAAAATAAAGTTTCTATTTTGCTAATTTCAATTTAGAAAAGGGAAAACTGGAAAAAAAAGGAAGCATGATCTTAATCCAGGATTTATCTTTTTATCATTCTATATTTTGTATTCGGGGTTTTGGTTTCTATGTCCCCCCACCCCCTACAATTGTATTTTTCTTATTATAATTAATAGAGATCAATACGTGGATGGGACACTTAAATTGAATATGTTCTAAACTCTTTAAAAAATAGTATGTTTTGTTGTTTTATTGGCTTAAAAAAATAGGCATTTTTTATTATTTTCGCATAGAGCATCAAAATCTTAGGACCAGTCGTAACAATAAGGTAATATATCTTGATAAACATTTATCCTATGAATGTTTGGTAAATGACCCTTTAGATTCAGTTACATATTATTTTTAAAGTAAGGATGAGGGTTATGCAGGCTATGAGTATCTTGAAATCTGAAAGAAAAGGTTGGCAATCTTTGTTTAATACGTGGTCCTCACTTCATTTTAGTTTATCTTAATTTCTATCTACAATTTCTATCGTCCACATGATCGATTGACATGTGGCAGCCAGAGAGTGTTCTTAGGGGTAGTTCCCCTATTAAATAAATTAATGTTGGAGGACTTGACTACATCAGTTGGGTAGTTTTATAATCAAAAGTATATATTCCTCAGTTTGCTTACTTTGTATATCTTGGGAGTTCAATTATATATGTATACATTTACTGGCCAGTTTTTGTGTTCCCAAGCATACCCTTGGTATTATTTAAGCATGCCTAGTGGTACAAGTGATGATGGGTATAAACTAATAATCCCAAATTTCATGGCTTTCTGTAATCTAAAACTAAATATATAGTTTCTAAACTACTGATTCAACGTTACAGATCAACTGTTCACAAGTCTACATCGCCTATATTTGAACCATTTATTCTCGATACATTTTAGAACCTTTCTTGTGTCCTAAATGCTTTTTTGGAGCGTAATCTTGGTTACATACGGGTATCAAGTCTAGACCTTGTTTGATAAATTAGCTGGATTTCGGCTGTGCGGTGTTTTTTGTGGTTTTGGGCTTCTGTTATTCGACTCAAGTGCAGCTAAGACCCAATGTCAAGCCTTGAGATGGAATTGGACTAGGCCAGAGAGTTGTAGATCTAAGTTTGGATAATGGATCCAGAAAAAAGGGCCCTTTTTCTTATAGCTTTATTCAGCCCAATTTGGATCAGGAAAAAACTATGGGCAGATCAGTCAGTGTGTTTGAATGCTGCATTGTCTTCTTTTAAGATGCTAAAACTGAAAACAAAGTAAATGACAAGTAGCTGCAGTGGCAGCTTATGTGCATGTGATCTTCCTGAAAATAATATCCACTTGCACACAATAAGTTAACAACCCACCTTCCATTTCTTGCTGATTATTCTACCTCATTGGGAACTGTTATCAACCCATGGCTGCTCCCTTCCTGCTTATCTCAGCTTCACCCATCCATGATCTAGAATTAAGCATATGTCAGATTATAAAACAAAACATTTATGTGATCTGTTACTAGGACTAGAAAGATATTATTTCTGTCTGAATCCAACATGTTGCTCTATAAGAGTGATCATGGGTTGTGATTAGAACTAATCTCTATCATTCAGTGAACCTGTTTAGATTGCCAGTTTCTGCATTAGCAGACGAATTGAATAGAAGGGCTGAATCATGTGTCATAATCTTTGCAGAAAATGGCTACAAGACTTGTCTCTATATCTAAAGCGAAAGAGACTACCACCACGACGCTATCGGCATGATTTAACTGTTCTATTCCATAACAAGATTCAAGTTGAAATATCTAGCTCTCCATATGTTGGTTATTATATCATATTAAAAACTGAAAGAAAAGTCAAAAGTTGGATGCTGGGTCTATCCTCAATTTCTGGTAAGATTTGGAAAGATTGATCTTTTTCTAAAACCAACAAAATAATCATGAAATAAACCATACTAGAATAGAGCTGAGTGGCACACTGTTGGATTTTGACAGCTACCTTTAGTTAGGTTGTTTGGTTCAAGAAGTTGGGTATCTTATGTTCAATCCTAGATATATTGATGTTGTTAGCAGAAATTCTGGAGCAACTACGTTCACCCTAGTTACATGTCGGGTTATTCAGCTAAACGACCTTCAATTCTTACAAGTTCTTTTAAAACTCTTTGAGATTCATCACTGATAGACAGACAGCCATGAGAGTCTTTTTCTCCAAATAAAATCTATTCTGTAACTCATACATTTTCAGATTGCTGGCCTCTGATAATGGAACTGAGCTAATTTGAACTGAAGATTCACACAATGAATACACTTAAGTTGTATCATTTAATATATGCCATATAGATTCCTCAAGTACAGACATACACTTAATCTATTCAATCTAGATCCATACATATATAAGATGATAGTCTAAGTGCATACCTTATTATTATTTAGGTTTTGATGGTCATTGTTTTGTCTTTTCTTTTAATTAATGCAGAATTGAAGGCCATTAATTAGTGTTCAGACTTTAGTTCTGGTCTAATGTGTATGTCTGTTACCAACCAGACAAGTTCAACTTGTTCTACACCATGATACAACAACAGTACAAGATCCAAATCTTGAAATTAATGTGTGGTCACATGGACAAGATTCAAGAATTTTAACTTGCAAGATGCACCTCCGAAATCTTTTTCGTATCTGATTATTAATGGTAGATATTTTCGGTTTTGATTCGATAATTAAAACCTGAATCAATTCGATTTCGGTTTTGATTAGACAATTATGAAGTAAATCAATACCGTATTAATTATTATTTTGTCGGTTACGAAATGTGCTATATAAATATGTCACTCCTCCAAACCGAAAACACAACGCCTCAACGTGTTTTCCTGTTTCTTACATTCTTTTTCGTATCTTCTCTTATGTATATATCCCTACACCGTGAATCAGACTCCAAAGATTTTTTCCCCGAGTTTCGTTTAAGTAAGCAAATCGTGTGAAGTCGACGGTTTTTAATGCCTTTATTTTTTTAGTTCTAAGATTTTTGGCTGATCAACAATAGAATAGACAAACTAAGAACCCATTTTGTGTAAGAATTTCAAGTTGGGGATGCACCAACACAACAAATATAAAGTGGGTATCAATTCTTTATCGCAATTGTTTTCGCACTAAATAATTTTTTATCGGCTATGCACTACATATGTCGATTGGTCCACTGCGACTTTATCTATTATATCATCCATACGTTATAAATTCAACTGCAATTATACTATCTCAGTTTTCTTGCTTTCACATGACAATATGAATATCATGTTGTCCCACTTAAATGACAATAATTTGATGGTAGACTAGACCTGTGATATCATATCCTGCAAGGGTAAAAGAAGGAACAAAATACTAATAATACTTCCTCCTATAACTTGTCAATCTCTATTAGACTACAAGACAAAAGATGGGGACATCCACAAACACTCATTTTTCACTATATTATATATAAATGTATATATATATATATGTATGTATGTATGTATGTATCTATATGTAATATGTTCCAAAAGGTTACCAATAACTAAGGGTAAGGCTGCAATCCCATGAGCATTATATCAAACCAACCTTACCTAGGGTGTGTGAGTTTTTAAGTTCCTAACTGTCTTCACCACCTTGCTGGATTCATGATGAGTTTCAAAATTTTCTTTATTTTTCTCACCAGCAAGTTGAGAGACTAGTAGGATAAGATAAGACTTAAAGGTAGGTAAAGATAGTGCACATTTTGGGACCTCTGGCAGCCATTGATGATCTTGTAGAATTATAGCAAGTCTGAGAAAACAAAAAAGAAACCTTTCCATTCTTGATCTTGTCAGGATTACAGCATTAATGGAGAATTCAGAGAGCAATGCAAATATGGTAGTCTCGTCCGAGACACGTATGAAACCAGCACCTGAGCTTGAAAATATTGGTAATTCAGATATTTTGTTTTCATGTAGCTTGTATATGTTCACATTGATTATCTTGTATATGTGTATGGTTGTGTGTGTTTCTGTTTAAAGATTTACTTGGTTTGGTTCCTCTCCATATTATTTGCAACTACAATCACCTGTTTGCATAGTCTTCTGTCACAAGTTGTTAATGGCATATTTTGGTGAACATTCCTCCTCTCTTTTTCCTTACAGAACTGAAGTGTTTCAAAAGGTATATATTTATGCATATATATATATATATATATATATATATATGCATAGAGATTCAACTCTTTTAATTGCTATATATTACTATGAATAGACAGTTTCCTTTTTGCATCTTGATCCTTGAAAGTTGTGCTTTTATCAATTCGAAAAGTATGCCTGACTGAATATATTTTTGGTTAAGCCAAAATTGCATGTCCCTTGATTACCAGGTTAAAAAAAAGTCTAATTTTGTGTTTCTGATTTAAAACTCAGCAGAAGAGGTGAACGATTCTCCAGTTGAGCAAGTGAGACTCACCGTCCCAATCACTGATGATCCAACATTGCCTTGCTTGACATTCAGAACATGGTTTCTGGGGATCATGTCATGCGGCGTTCTAGCTTTCTTGAATCAGTTTTTTGGTTATCGCCAAAATCCGCTGTATATATCATCAGTTTCAGCTCAAATTGTTGTACTTCCAATCGGGAGGCTAATGGCAGCAACTCTACCGACACGAAAATTCCATTTTCCAAAAACAAAATGGTCCTTTTCACTCAACCCTGGACCCTTCAACTTGAAGGAGCATGTTCTCATCACAATATTTGCAAATTCTGGTTCTAATTCTGTGTATGCAGTCGGGATCATCACTATAGTCAAGGCTTTCTATCACCGTAATCTCAACCCACTTGCAGCCATGTTGCTTACACAATCTACCCAGGTTAGTTCTCCATTTTTCATGCTCTAAACTCATGTTGCACTTGAAATGTCTTCCATAAGGAGATTGTCAGAATGATCCATATCTTGGTTGATGCTAACTGTGTAGTTGCTTGGATATGGATGGGCTGGTCTTTTTCGAAAGTTTTTGGTTGATTCACCATATATGTGGTGGCCTGCCAATCTGGTTCAAGTCTCCCTCTTCAGGTTCATTTCTTGATTAGTGGGTGTATTTTTGTAACCAATTTCTCGCTAAATTAAATTGCTATCGATCCCTTTTCTTCCAGGGCATTGCATGATGAAGAAAAGAGGCCAAAACGTGGGTTGTCAAGGCTGCAGTTCTTCCTGATAGTCCTCATATCAAGCTTCTCATACTACATAGTTCCCAATTATCTATTTCAATCCATTACAGCAATCTCTTTTGTTTGCTGGATATGGAAGGATTCTGTCACAGCTCAACAAATTGGATCTGGTCTCCGTGGCCTTGGAATTGGAGCATTTGGTCTTGATTGGGCTACTGTGTCTGCTTTTCTTGGAAGTCCCTTGGCCACTCCTGGATTCGCCATCATGAACATACTGGCTGGCTATATAATAATCGTCTACATAGTGATTCCCATTGCTTACTGGAATAACTGGTATGAAGCCAAACGTTTCCCAATCTACTCCTCTCATGTGTTTGATGCTTATGGAGAACCATACAACGTTTCGAGAGTCTTGAATGCCACCACCTTCTCATTCAACAAAGAAGGCTATAACGATTATAGCAAGATCAACCTTAGCATATTTTTTGTATTCGCTTATGGTCTAAGTTTCGCTACATTGGCTGCCACACTCTCTCATGTTGCACTCTTCCATGGCAGGTATATACTTCTCCAGAAACCCGTAGATTTTCAATGTAAGTAAACACATAACACCTATCTTATATATGTTTGTTTGCAGAACGATTTGGGAGCAAACAACTGCATCATTTAGAGACCAGTTTGGGGACGTCCATACTAGGCTGATGAAGAAAAACTATGATCCAGTCCCACAATGGTGGTTCCACTCTCTGCTGGTATTGGTGATAGGACTTGCTTTGCTAACTTGTGAGGGTTTTGGCAGGCAACTACAACTCCCTTACTGGGGAGTCATTTTAGGAATTGGTTTGGCTATGGTCTTCACACTGCCAATAGGTGTCATCACAGCTACAACGAACCAGGTGATATGCTGTAATCATTACACATAAATCCTTGTGTATCTGTACTTAATCTGTTGTATTCTAATACTTAAACTTTTCGTACAGCAACCGGGACTAAATGTCATTACCGAGTTGATTATCGGTTACATTTACCCTGGGAAACCACTTGCCAACGTGGCCTTCAAAACGTATGGCTACATAAGCATGTCACAAGCCATCATGTTCCTCCAAGATTTTAAGTTAGGCCATTATATGAAAATCCCACCAAAGTCCATGTTCATTGTACAGGTATATTAATCATTCCATCATTGAAAAGACTTTCCAAATATACTTGTTATCATTTAAACATGACTAATACTTTGATTTTGATGCTTGATAAAGTTGGTAGGGACGGTAGTTGCATCCTCCATCTACTTTGCAACATCATGGTGGCTCCTCACGACAGTGGAATACATCTGTGACCCCAGTAAGTTGCCTGAAGGAAGCCCATGGACTTGCCCAGGAGACGATGTTTTCTACAACGCCTCAATCATATGGGGAGTGGTCGGACCTCAACGGATGTTTGGAAATCTTGGGCTATACAACAAAATGAACTACTTCTTTCTGTTGGGAATTCTTGCACCAGTACCAGTCTGGTTTCTTGCTCGTAAGTTTCCTGAGCAAAAATGGATTAGGCTCATAAACATGCCGATCCTTATATCTGGACCAGGAGGGATGCCACCAACTAGAGCTGTAAACTACAATATGTGGTTTGCTGTGGGAATTTTCTTCAACTTTGTGGTGTATAAGAAGTTCAAGGGTTGGTGGGCAAGGCACAACTATATTCTATCAGCTGGGCTTGATGCAGGAGTTGCATTCATGGCTATCCTTTGCTATTTCGTGCTACAGATAAAGGATATCAATGGACCAATGTGGTGGGGTATGGAGATAGATGATCACTGTCCCCTAGCTACCTGCCCAACTGCTCCTGGTATGAAGGCTGATGGATGTCCTACAGTCCATTGACACCCTATCTTACATACTATCTTGATTAATTTGCATTGGTACAAAGATTAGGAGTACAAAACTACCACAAGCCTGCTTCACATACGAACATATTACAGTCATTAGTATGACAAATACATGTAATTTAACTTCCATTGATCAAAGCTCAATGGAAGTACCCAAGTAAAGTCCTTTCTTTGACCTATGATCACCTTCAAAAGAAATATATATGGCCATCTTAATTACTTGCCAATTTTGCAAGGTGTGTTGATGTTATCTGTTTATGTGCCAAGTTTAAGCTTATCATGTGATAGTGGCATGGCTCTCAGAAAAATGAAGTTTAAACACCACTTCCAATCTTGTATGATTCCCGAACCAGGAGAGACGAGTGTTGTACTGGGAGAAACCATGGAGAGACTAGTGTTGAATGTATGATTCCCGAACTTGTGACTAGAAGGTATGAAGAACAAGAACAAGCGAGGAAATATATGGAAGAGGTTTTAATTTCTTTCCAAAGGATAATTACAAATGAAGGGGAAACCTTGTTAAGAAAGTGAGGGCAAAAATGGCAAAATCTTCTTCTGCCATTCAACCACGGAAAGATTCCACTATATACTAACAACGACCCATTAATTATTTTTGCTCGTACAAGAAACAGAGGCACCGGAGACCGGAAAATTGGTAGCAAATCCGTAGTTGAAAGTCAAATCTCTAATTAAAATCTGTTGCAAACAAGTCGTAGCTAATCAGTTGGTCGTAAATATATTTTGCTATGGATTTAGTGATTGAACTTATATTACTAGTGATGGGAGTTTTTAGTAGCAAATTTCACTACAAAAATGAAGAGTATCAACGAGGGAAAAATCCGTCGCTGATACTCCGTCGGTCAAATAGTCGTAGGTAATGCTAATAGCGACGGATCAGTGACGGATCAGCGACAGATTTGCGAGGGATACTTTCAGCGACGGATCAGCGAGGGATCTGCGACGGAACTTTCAGCGACGGATCTGCGAAGAAACTTTCAGTGACGGATCTGCGACGGATCTATCAGCGACAGATCTACAACGGATCTTTCAACGACGGATCTGCGACGGAACTTTCAGCGACGGATCTGCGACGGAACTTTCAGCAACGGATTTGCGAGGGAATTTTCAAGGACTTTCAGCGACGGATTTTCCCTCGCTAATCCGTCACTAATTTGTATAAATTTAAAAAATAATTTTTTTGAAATTGCATAATTCCTGTATTTATTTATAAAAAAACCTGAAAATAATAATATAACAAATCAAAATTGTGAACAAACTTTAACTAACCAATTCATATGATTTAAAATATGGATTTATACAATTTAAAATATTCAATTCATACAATTTAATCTTCGAATACATACAAACTAACTATCGGGAGGTGGGGGAGGTAAGGAAAGTGGGAAAACGTATCCTGACTACCGCATAAACGCAGCAAAATGCTCCGATAATGCGGCCTGTTGGGCTAATGCAGCAGCTTGTCTGGCCTGTTCGGCTGCCGAGGCAGCTTGTCTGGCTTTGGCCTCCAAATCTGCCTATTCTTACGTTCGGTCTCCCGTTCCTCTTCTACCCTTGCCAACTTCTCTCTCAACTCCGTTACCTGTAAATATTCAATATTCGACAAAATCAGTAATTTGTTCGCAATTTTTAGTAATGAGAAAGTTTATAACAATATAACCAACGTACCTCCGCTCTTGACTCGTATGATGACCCGCTACTGCTACATCTACCCGTCATGGCATAAGAGGGATCCTCGGTGGTTTCGAAACCAAATATTCGGCCTTTCCTTCGTCCTCCGACACTTTGCTCCCAAAGAGATGCCTCATCAGGGAGAGGGCTGTCGGTACTAGATTGTGACTCACCCCTAAGCGATTGAAATCGCTCCTATGATTCACCAAAACAAAAACGGGTGAGGTTATATATGTAGATATTTCAGCAGCATAACGACTGTAAATCAAACATAACCAATGCCTGTTTTTAATAACTAAGCATTCTAATAATACCAATGTTCGAAGTCACATTCTCAACCTATTTACTTAGCCTAACGTCTGGCCAACAATGGCAGCCCAAACTAATAGCATCACTATGTTTATTGAAATATATTACCTTAAACCTACCAAACGTTTCTATCAACCAAAGTAATGGTTTTAGAAAACTTACATGATACCTAGCAGCTTTCGGGTAACTGAACTGAGGAGGATCGGTAGGCGGGTCGGACAAACCTTGATCGAACTTCCGGTTCGTAGAGTGAGTGCGCTCAAACACCTCAGTAGCAGTCGGCTCACGACCCATTACTTGTGCCTACATTAGACAATTAGGTTAAGTTGTTACTAACATAAAGAACGAATTACATTTTCAAAAAAGATTGTATACTCACCATCCTGTCTCGATGTTGTGGAGTACTTATCGATCCCCCAATGTGTCTGGATGACACCCCCTCAAACTGGGTGTTTCGATTGGCCCTATTGATCTTAGATTTCCTGTTCCAAGCCTCGGTATCCCAAACTTGTTAAAAACAGAGCACACATATAAGACGAAAGGCGGTACACATGGCAGTTCGAAAAACTCACAATAGAGATACATACCGTGTCAATCATCTGCAGCCAAAACCTGTCTGGTATCCATACAAGACGGTGTAATCTAATCCGTGAGAAGTCCTCACCATCCCATTGCTGATCACCAGGATAGGCCTGTGCCACGACCCAATCACGTGCAGAGCTCATCCAGTCTGAGTACCTGTTGTGCATGGCTTTGGTCCATAAATCATGAACTGTATCATCCAGCTCAGGTTCCCACTGGAACTTAGCTTACATACACAATGTTTGTATAAGTGTAAAAATAATAACTTTAGTATAATTACATTAAAATAGTATACCAACCCTAAAGCGCTGGAACATCAAGTCACGTGCTTCCTGAGGTACTTCCTTCCATCTATGCCACRKACCAGCAAAGGAAGACCTGAAGATAGTCGTCATCTCTCGGATAACATGGGAATCTTTAAACCTATACAATTAAAAAAATATTTACAATACAAAGACATTCATATTATTTTATTATGTAATACAAAGTCTTATACGATATCTGCTTACCCATGGCCTAACAAAGACAGATGTCTTCGGTGGCTCGGATGACTCGGTGTCGGCATCTCTATGTTGGGGCCTCTCCCCGACCCCGAACCTGTCGAAGCTGGGGACTCCATGGCCACCTCTTGCTCATCTAAACCGCGAAAGGCGGTGTCCGAAAACTCTACAATGTCATCGGCGCGGGCAGAGTTGCTACCCCTACCAGACATGGGGCTGCTACGACTCCCATGATGGCCTCTACCATGCTCTCGGCATGACATCTCCTGAAAAAACAAACATTAGATTATATCATGAAAAAAGATAATGACAAATCGCGATGTACATATAAAACATAAAAATGAGAAAATAGGAAAAATAGGAAAATCTCTCGCTGATCCCTCTCTAATCAGCGAGGGATCAGCAAGGGAATTTAATTTTGGCCATTTCCCTCGCTGATCAGCAATAGAATTCTCCTATTTTCTTAATTTTCTTGATTTTTATGTGTTGCATGTACACATTTTTATATTTAGGTAGCGTATGTATACATGTGCATGTGTTATAAGTATATATACCTGTCAACCCGTGTTATATACATATGTCTACACGACTTTGTATGTGTTATATGTATATATACCCGCCGGTCAAAGTTATATACATATATATACATGATGTGTACTGGTTGCTAACCACGATTGGATCGATGTATATATGTTTAAACGTATGTGTATATGTGAATGTATAGATAGTGTGTGTGTTATATGCGGATTTATTCGACTTTATTGGGCCTTAACCCATTTAACTGGGCTTTGTTCGGTTTTATTGGGCCTTAATCCATTTACCGGACTATTTTGAGTTTATCAGGCCTCAATAAACTTTATTCAGTTTTATTTGACTTTATTCGGTTTAATGGGCCTTAATAGGCTTTATTCGGTTTTATTAATTAATTTTTGTAATATTCTAATAAATAATAAATAATTGGAAATTTAATAATCAATAATTAAAAATTAATAAGTA